AGTCTTGCTTGCTACCCGAGGGGTGCCTGTTCTGCCTGAGCGCATAGAAGGTGGAGTGGTCCAGCTTGTGCGGGAACTTCTCTTGCATGAGGAGCTGAATCTGACGCAAAGGGTTATCTCGGATGCCCTCAAACATGTCCTTAGCACAGAGGCGATTGTCGATCTCAATGACGATTTCAGCAATGGCATTGGTCTTGAACTCAAAGGCAGGTGACGCCGTCAAAGTATAAGAGATCTTACCCTCGAACGTGAGAAGCGTCACGATGCGCTTGTAGCTGGTGTTGATGGCACCGTCGTGCACGACAACCTCATACGGGCCAGAAGCAAGTTTGGAGAACTGCTGAAGCTGCCCATGCTCGATCACCGGGATGATAGCAGCAAGTGGTTGTTTGGTTTGGATCTTGGCGACTTCAGTCAGTTGATTCTTGGTGATCATCACAATTCCTCCCTTCGCTCCAGTGAGCTGATGCCGGTGAACCTGAGGTACAACGGTCTTGTCCGCAAGTCTAAAGGGGTGATCAGCATCAAGCCGAAGGTCCTCCCATTTCGCCTGAGCCGACGGCAGTTTCTTGGCCCATGGATCCCGAATCTGCAAGAGATCAACCGCAGGGTCAGTGTGGACATCCATAGGTTGAGGCTGCTGAGAAGGAGAAGATGCCGAACCAGGAGTAAGGGCTCCTCCAGACGCAAATGCCGGCGTGAACCTTCCACGGAAGAGATCATGGAGGTACCAGACGGTGGCATCTTGGGCAAAGGCATGCAGACCAACTATGTGTGATGAGGCCCAAAGCTCATTCCCAAGCAAGATGGCTGCTGCCAAACGCGAATCATCCATAGCAGCGGCGATGCATGTGTAATGGCAATCCCTGGTCTCGGCATTGTAACCTCAAGCTTGTTGAAAAGCTCAAAGAGCGGGGTCCATCCGCACAGGCCAAGCTGAGTGTCACAAGGAAGGTGAATGAGCTGAAAATCACCTTCTCCAAACCCAGTGAGTATCTGAAGCTGGTCAACCAAACATTGGAGGTCATGAGCAAAATCAGTTGGCGCTAAGACCCAAGCAATGGTACGATCCTGTTGACGATGAAGTTCACAGGAGATCCAGTGTTGATCAAACAAGATCAGAGAGATTGCCCTCCGATGGAAGCGGCAATCCTCCTTGTATCCACTGAAGGTGCACATCGTCTTGGCAATGGAGTTCCACATCATTGGAGCTGTGATTGCGATCTCTGGATGAGCAGTTCGAAGCAGTTGAAGAGCACAGTCCGCAACATCACTGCCAAGCCAACCCGGGAATTTGTGAAATTCGTCAACTCTTTGGTTCTGAAACTCCCTCACAAAGTGGTCGTATTCATCATAGTGCAGAACCCTGCCAGGGAGAGAAAGCGAGGGGCCTCGAGGCAGTTCCACATAGATGGCATGGTCGATGACCGGGGCTGCATCATTGTCATTGAGGGCGAGGTGATAGAAACATCCAAGGCGAATTTGTCGAGCAAAATGCCACAGAATGGGAGGAGCATCAGCAGCGATCCAATCCTCAACTGAGCTGGAAAGAACTTCATGGATGAGCGAGTACTTCCATTCAACAAAATCTTCAAGATCTTCTTCATATGACTTCAGCTGGTCATGCTGACCCAGTTTCTCAAACCATCGGTACAGCAAGGCCCACCCACACATGTGGAAGGGCTGAGGGAAAGCATGGACGAATGTCTGGATCTTCCGCCCTGTAGTGTCAAGGCGTCGAGCAAATATCTGACCAAGTCGATGTGCCTTCAGACTGTCGACCCCAAGGAAGGTGATCTGCGCATCGTCACTGACACGGGAGACCTCACAACCAATCCAGTGGGAGTCAACCAAGATGGCAAACCAAGTAGTAGACTCAGGGGCAACGTTCGGAAAGGAGAACGTGGTTTCGTCAAAGTCGGAGTCAATAGCATTCCATTGCAAAAGAGCAAAAGAAATGCACCGTTCCTCGTGGTCAGCGAGGAGCCATGACATGGCATACTTGATCTCGTCGGACGCACACCAGCCATTGGTATTGATGGCAAACTCGCATCGCTCTGACAGATTCGCGCCCGCTCTCAACTGCCAAACGACCTTCTCAGCCTCGGGGTGCCCACCAGCAAAGACCCTCTGGGTGTTCTCGACTCGTCGAAGCTGGTCATCTTGAAACACCGTGGTGAAGACATCTCCATCACAAACTTCGTGAGATCGGTCCGCATCAAGGGTCACTCCATTGATGCGCTGGATAATGAGAGACTGTTCGTGACGAAGGATGACAGTGTGCGGGGTGACAAAGCCTTCAAGTTCCACAATTTGATAGTCAATGATGGAGGTGAGGTTCTCGATGACACAAGGCTTGTTCGCCTCAGGGTTCTGGAGCACCCACCACTCGTGATGAGGAAGCCGAACAGACCTGCCACGTAGCCTGCGGAATTGCCAATGTCGAAAGCCGAACTGATGCAAACAGTCATGGATCATCCGAAAGTCAGCAGATTGTGATCTGGAAGTCACAAAAACCAACTGGGGATCAATGCAGCAGAGCGCCGTAGGAATGACATCCTCCTGCAGACCAAAATAGCCGCGGGCTGAGGCGTCCTCAAAGAACTTGATCAAGACCAAAAAGTTCTCCTTTGCACTCTCGAGTTCATATGGGGCTGATGGAACCAAAACGGTCTCAATCTGGGCAACCGGGATGAAAGGACAAGTGGGCGACAGCTGAGGATTTTCATCTTCCTGATTGCCTTCTTCAAAGCAAATTGTAGCAACTTTGACAGCAGCCACACAGACATCCCAAGCCCAGGAAAGCAAAGTCAACTCGAAGATTGAGTCTGCAGCGGAGGCAACCACAAGCCCGTGTCTCAGCGAGAACTGTGAAGCGGCGTGTGGCTCAATCTGGATCATGCTGGACAACAGCTGGGTGACCGTCCAATCCCCGTCACAGCTTCCCACGAAGCTTGCAGGGCCATGCACACTGTCGAAAGTGAACTTCATGGGTGCACGAACACAGGAATCGGGTCGGAAAGAAAGTCTCTCAACAAGCGAGGAAACATGAACAATCGAAATAAAGTTCCCTTCATCAATGACAATGGCGTTTTGAGACGTGACACGCTTGTTCCAAACCTGGCAAACAATGCTCTCAATATCAAGGCAAGACCTGTTGATGGCTTGGAGCCCTACAAGCAGCGCGAGAGATGCCTGTGGGATCGAAATGGCGTTCCCAAGTCCATGGAAGGCATCAAGTGGATTCGACGGAAGCGAAATCCTATTAACCCCTCCCAACAAGGCAGCAATCCGTGTCGGCTCAATCAAATGCATGGACCCTTCATTGACCATGAACGAAGCGAACAACCCTTTGGAAGCGACATGATTGGAGTCAAGTTCATGTTGTCTACCATACATGGCACAGAAAGTAGGAAGTGGTTCATTCAGAGCAACCGCTCTTTGCATAAGGACACTTTCCCGGTCTGCGTCAGGCGAAAGCCGAGCCTTCTTGGCAGGTGGAAGGAGATGATGAGCTCCATAAACCATCTTCATGTCTTCGGTCAGAACAAGGCCACGCAGAAACTCCTGAGGCAAGGCAAACGTGTACAACTGGCTGTGCCATGGAGAACGAAGGGACTCATGAAGGTGATACACCTTACTGTTGGGCTCATGTTCATGGTCGGCTCGAATCCAAACCGACAGCCAACGGTCTCGCTTGGTATCCGAGAGCGAATGGAGAGACGAGATCTGCTGCCACACCCTCCTGAAACCCCCTAACTTGAGCAGGTGCGAAATCAAGCCAAAGTGCGAATGGTTGAGGATTTCATCAGCACATTCGAACACTTGGATGCTCGGGCGAAGGGCCGGAGTGATGATCACTGCCTCAACAAATGCGAAACCTGCATCTGAGTTCAATCCCTTCGAACGCCCTGCTTTGCTCCAAGAGACACACGGTGGCGATGCTGTACCAACAGAGTTCGAATGAAAGATCACCTGGTGCATCAAAGACCGATCATCTACAGGGGTACAAATTCCGAGGTGGCTTGCAGGATTCCATGGGAGCAAGTGTGAAGTCCTACCCAAATGATGAGGCCTGCCGACCTGCTGGGACCAAAGGCCCATAGTGACCGGATCACTATCGATGCAAACCTGTTGCCCAAGAGGAGGGAACAAAGGGTCCTTGAGAAGACATTCGATGGCTTGAGACCAACCTCCAAACGATCCTGAGAACAGATGGAACAAATTCATTGGCGACGTCCTGACCCATCTCGCGGCTGGGATAATGCAAACGTCTTCGGCCAATGAGAGCGAAGTCCCATTCTCACTTCCAATCCCTCCAAAGAACGTGAAAGAAATGCCTTCACTCACTCGAACGGCTCGATCATTCAGTCGGGGGATATGCAGATCCCAGCACTCATTTGGTCCCTCTTCAAACCCAACACCCGGAATGAACCGGTGAGGGCAAATCACCAAGGAATTCTCATTGCAAGACACCACTTTTCCCTGAAACAAGCCCAGCCCAGAAAACCGAATAATGAAATCCGAACTTCCAAGAGCCTCAACAAGGTCGATCAACTTTGATCTCCAGGGTTCCTCAATTTTCTTGTGGATCATGTCAAGCACTCTAGACTGGATATTGTCATCGAACCACGACGAAGCCACACGTGGGCGCGCCATCACACGGACCGAGATGCCGCCACAGGGGATGGCCGCTTTGTAGACGTCGCACCTAGGCCTAAAGACAGCCTAGCCAGCGACCCTGGGTGTCTCGTGCACCCTGAGCTCTGCGGCTTTGAACCTGGAGAGCTCTCACGTCTATTCTGTTCATTTTCTATGGTCAACCAAACGTCTTTTACACAGAGCCGTGTCGAGATGTTTGTTTTGACACGGAAACCAAGTACCTTCTGGGATGCTGGTTGAACGCTGGTAAACCAGCCTGTTTCTATCCGTTTTTGAGGTCCACGTGCTCGGCCTTCGCTCGACCGGGTGTCCTGGGTCGACATTGTGCCGGTGAACAGGTGCGCGATCACTTCCTCTCGCCCATCATGGACTCAACAGACAGAAGGCTCCCGCAAGAAAAGCAAACCTGGTCGAGCAAAATCGGCACAAGCTTTTCAGTCGAGGTGCTCGAAAGGAACAAAAGAAGTGTCAATGCGTGGGAGAAGTTTTGCAGAGTCTTGTTTGTTTTGTCAGAGTGCCGTTGAATTAATTTTATAATGAACTGAAGTGAAAGAATGAATTAAAAAACTGTGTGTGATATGACGGTTGTGGAGGTACTTGGTGATTGATGCCTCCAAGTTCCAAGATCGGAGAAAGGCCCGAAGCTGATGTCATTTCGTGCTAGTGTTGGCGAATGTGCTTCGCAGCCTTTGCTCTACCAGAATGCATGGGCATGCAGTGCACAGCCGAGATTGCAAGACCAGTTAGTTACTTGATGTTAATTACTTGTATTGTGCTGACTGACTCTGTTGACTACAAGGGCAAAACAAGACCCCAAGACCTTGCTCACCACCGTGGCATTTTGCATGTCCCTCACTTAGGCTCACTTTGTTCATTAGTCGGATCCTAGCATACAGTCAATTGTACCTACTGGTCTTGATGGTTCACTGGCAGGCCCGGGAAAGCCTGCTGCCAGCAACGAAGCATGTTTCAAAAATACCACCCTGACTTAGCAAGCTTCACAGAAAGAGGAACGCTTCAGAATCCAATCTGCAAGTTGCGAGATTGGGAGCTCTGGTTTTGTTTCACCCGCCCTGGAAGGCTTCAAAGTTAATCTGAAAGGGCTGACAACTGTCCTTGTTCGTACCCTTTGGTGAACAAGACAGCTGGTTACAATGGCCCGTTTAGTTTTTTGTTCATGTCAGAGTCACAGTCAACTAGGCTGAGGGCTGAGAGTGGTTGGTTTGCCGTTTGCCATTGTTGCCCATGTACAAAGTTTTTTGAATGGCTTACAAAGATAAGTTGAACAAAGGAGGAGCTCAGGAGCTTTGCTGCTTGTGGCAATGTGTTGTAGTAGCGTCCCATTGCTCCTAGTAGTAAGGCCAGGAGCCCCTAATAGGGTCCTTGCTCCTAGTGGCGATGCCCTTTGCGTGTGGCCATGTGTTGTGAGTCATTCCTTTGGGCGTTTTTCCAGGGATTTGGGACCACCTCCTTCGATGGTGTTCCACTCTCCAGCGGGTGGCGCAACGGCCATACGGGTGGCTATGACAAGATGTTCTTTGGTTATGGGCGGAATGAACGTCCACATTCAAGCTACCTCCATGTTCAATATTTTCAGAATCCTGACAAACCACTCGCACCCTTGACCGTGCCCGATGAAAGTCCAAAAGAGGAGTCAAGGCAAGACACCTTGAAGCATTCTTCCAAGCATATTTTGCGACTGGCAAGTCTCCCGCTAGTTGGATGACCAGCAGCGCAGGCTGAAACTGGGGGCTGCGCCTTCGAACCGCCCACTCTACTTGATGTTGCAAGATGTTGCAAGCATTCTTTGTGCCCAAGAATCTGATTTGTTTAACGGCTGAGTTTGCTCTTTGGTACTGCCTTACTCTGAAAATATGACCAGCATTATTTTGAGCGCGGTAGTCGCTATTCCTTTGGAGCACCGCATTCCACTGCATTGAGGTGAAAGAAGCAAGTCCTTTGACAAAAATAACTTAACATACAATAACTTTTGCATTGAACAGTGGTTGTAGACATTGAGCACCGCACCTTTTGCCCGCTCTCCAGATGAGTTTGCAGATTTGCACCACTCGACCAGCTGCCCTTGCATAACCTGTGCCTGAAACAAAGACTGCCCGGTCGCGCAGACACTTTTTTCAATCCCAACGCTCTTGGCCATTGAGCTGATGGTTTTCAGATAATCAACATCCTAAGCCTTAGCGGCACGCGCAGCTCAACCTTTATCAGCCGAGATGAATCCAGAAAAAGACTCGAGGAAGATACGTTTGTCCGAGTCTGCTTTGTCGAGTTTCTGTCCGAGTCCCGCCTTGATAAGAGGCTGGCTTGTGAGATACGTCTTGAAAGAAATGGGCAGCCCTGGAGTAAGACTCGTCATTGCTGCGCCATGCAACTTGGGTCTGCTAAGTTGCATAAGTTGCATAGGTGTGGAAAACCGCTGACACGTAAATTGCCGGTCATGCGGATTTGGAGCAAGAGGCGACAAAGCTACGGACAAGAGTCTTATATACGTGGTGCCAATAGTGCATGTCAAATACAGGGATATATGATATACAATATTGGGTTTCCAAGTTGATGAAGCTTGGAGCATTGGAGGGGTTCTTCTTTCTCATGCTGATCCTGGTTTGCACTTTTGGACAGTTCTGTCTCCGGCAATGGCTATGCTCACTCACATGGATGACCTGTTGGCGGTTGCCGACTGGACCCGTGGCCGTGGTATGTGGTTGGCGGGCACTGGCTGCAACTTGCTGGGCTTGGCAGGTGGTTCCCTCATGATGCAGGGTTCTTGGCAGTCATGTTGGCGGGAAAAGCTCGCGTAAAGAAGGGGCTGCATTTTTTACAGGACGGAACAATAGCAGCGATGCCCTTTGCTCCTAGTAGCGTTCTTGTTCCTAGTAAATAGCAGGAGCTACGTTCGTAGCTTCTTGCTCCGTTCGGTTCGCGATGCCCGGAATGCTCCGTTCGAAGAGGGAGAGTTACGGAAAGGCTGAGCGAGCGACCCGTGGAGTTCCAGCGAAGTAGGCCCCCTCTGGGCTGTTGTAGTGACAGCTGCCTATTGTGCCCGAAAGACTCCGACTGGGCAGACCAGTCGAACTGTTCCGTTTGTTGTTGGTGTGGTTTTGGCTTCCTGGGAGCTTGTTTTGCCTGGTTCGGTGCTTCACATCATGCTTTTCTCACCATCCACCACTTCACCTCACGCAAAAGCAAGGGAGGACCCTATGATGCCCGCTGCTCACCTACCGTCTTTTCCGTTTTGGCGTATACGTGTCGTCACATCTTTATGCCGCTTTGCTTGCGCGAGCCACGAACTTCACCCCCTGCCGGCCTTCGCCTGGTTTGGAAGCTCCCACGCCTTGACGACGCCGACCTGCAGCTGGCTTTTTACTCACGGCCACGCCACACTGCGATCCCTCGAGCTGGTGTGCTAAGCTATCCTAGATTCACCGCGGGCGACGCACCCTTCGCCCCGCACCGGGCTTGGACTTCCGCCTTTTTGAGGGAGTGCACTGGCCCACCACACGCACAGCGAAAGGCATTCGCAATTATCCCGGAAAGCTGCTCCAAGCAAGAACAATCAAAAATGAGGGTACTTACTGTAGTAGTCCCCCCAGCAACAGTTCAACAATGGATTTGCCACTAATGGTCATTGTCTATGTGTTGAAGCCAGTCGAAGTCATCAGAAACACTAAACAGCGCAGACCCTGGTGAGCAGAAAGTGGCTAGAGAGTCCTTTGCGGCAACGACGAATACTGGGTCACTTGCTGGCCATCGGAACGCGCAGCGAAGCGCGTGCAGTAGAGTAGAGTTGGCACTGCGAAGGCGCGAGTGCAGCTTCAGGTGTTAGTTACAGATGCCCGCTACAAGCATCGCCATGTATTGAAGCACAAGCATTGCCATTTCGACCCAGTGTGACGCAGTCTTCGGAGAAGACTGATAAACCAAGAAGCAGTCACTGCAACATTGCGGCGCCGAGTGCCGGTGGACAGAGGGCAGAACTCCACATGCGGCCAAATTGTTCCTCCCGCTTGACCCTGCCCTTCAATGCTGCACAAACTCTTTTAAAGGCACGCGGCACAGGTCCCACAGACTGCGACAACTGCACCACACGCGGTGCATCCATATCATCGCTCGCGGCCAGCTTCATGGTAGTCGCCGAAGCCTGTCATCACAGCATGCTGTAAGAAAAGGCTCGACAAGGCAACAGGAGGCAGCAGACTCACGAGTTCTTTTAGGAACTGATTTTTCAAGGCTTTCACCGTCAGCTCTTGTCCATCTTTCCGGCGCTCCGTACCCCATACGTTGCACGTTGAACGGAATTTGGATTGAGCACCTGCCAACCATTCCAACAGCGAGGACACAACATCGTTTCCCAACACCAGATCAGACTGGGTGTCCAGCCAGCAAAGCATCGAGAGAATGACCGTGGTAAGTGAAACTGCTGGCTATGCTATGGCTGTTTCTGTGCAGACTACGAACCATCTACAAAACAAACCTCATGCGAAGCGATTCGTTTTTTTTGTTCTGCCACCCAGTGTATTGCAAAACGTCCGGGTTCCCTTTTGACTTTGGCCATGGCCGTGGCCCCCCACATTTTGCTCGAAGGTTGGGAGCACCTCAAGAGTTGTAAAGGACTGGAAGTCTGGAAGCCTAATTCTTCCCGAAATCATCAGCGAAGGGCTCTCCTTCAAAAACGTGTACCAACTTCAACAGTCGAAACATCATGCTTATCATGCTTATCATGCTTATCATGCTTATCATGCTTATCATCATCATCATCATCATCACCATCACCATCACCATCACCATCACCATCACCATCACCATCATCGCCACCATCGTCACCATGCTTATCGTCATCAGCAGTATCATCACCATCAGCATTGTCATTTTCATTGACACCACTGCAATTGTTATCAGCATCATCAGCACCATCCTCATCATTATCATCACCACCGTCATCGTCAGCAAAATTGGAAGTTGCACACATGTAGGTGATTGTTAAGATTGGTGGTATATCAAACCTACATTGGATACAGGTGTGTTAATACACGTCTTGGGACATAGGTATAGTTGATATGCGTGTTGTGACAGGTGTTGGGGCATAGGTGTGGCGATAATTGATGCAGAAGTTGAGATACAGGTGATACAGGTGTTGAGATACAGGTGGTGCAGGTGTTGAGATACAGGTGTTAGTTGAGATCTAGGCCAAAGCACCCACACCATTCACCTACACAACTATCAAAACACAACCCTCAGTGGAGATTGTGCATGTTGGATGCGCGAAACCGTGGTGACATATGTCGACACCACCGTCGCCTCCCCGCCCACCAGTGCCGGCCAGGCCCGGCGGCGAGGAGACCAATACGCAGGGCACGTCGCTGCAAAGAACCCACCTACCCAGAACTTCTTGCCCCCGGGGCGTTGCTGCCTCGCCGTCCTGGCCATCGAAGCCGGGGGGCGCTTTTGTGCCGAAGCCGTAGCCTTCCTCCGCCCCTTCTCACAAGCCAGAGCTCGGGCTGTTCCCGGCTACCTCCTGTAAAAGACCTTGCTGGCCACTCCAGAGTCGACGGACATTCGCCCACTTATTATGACCTCCTTGAACAAGACGGAGACCTCCCGGCTCGCCACCTCCCCTTACAGGGGGCCGTGGCTTGGACTTGGCCCCTGTTCGCTCGGAAGCGGCTCACCAACAGCTTCTCCCCTCCCACCTTCGTCATGGGACAAGGAGGAGAAAACTTCACCTATACGCTTCCAAACCAACCAGTTTGCAGACGCACGCCGTTGTTTTTTCGCTCATTTGGCGCCATCCCGCGACAGAGTCTGTTCGTGTCTGCCCTGCCAGCTCTTCCCGCCGTCCCATGACAGCGCAGGAGTGGCAGACCATCGGCCTCACCCCGCAGTGCTTGCTCCCCGGTCCCTTCGCCAGCCGAACTTTCACCGGGCATCAGATTATCCCGGCAAGAGGCCCCAAACAATGTGTGTGTGTGTGTGTGTGTGTGACTAGAGATCTAGAAGCATTGGGGTCCAGAGAGGTGATGGTGGTGTTGAAGTGAAGGTGGGTGCGAGTGAGTGTGGGTGAGTGAGTGAGTGTGCGTGTGAGTGAGAGCGGGGGAGGGAGCGTGAGTGCGGGTGTGCGTGAAAATGAGTGTGGGTGAGAGTGGGAGTGAGAGTGAGAGTGAGTGTAAGTGAGAGTGAAGGTGGGTGCCAGCGAGTGTGGGTGAGAGTAAGAGTGAGTGTGATGTGAAGGGTGAGTGTGAGTGAGAGTGCGAGTGTGAGTGAGAGTGAGTGTGGGTGAGAGTAAGTGTGCGTGAGAGTGAGGGTGTGAGGGAGTGTGAGTGTGAGTGAAAGTGGGAAAGTGAGAGTGTGCAGAGTGAGGGGGTGTGAGTGTGAGCAGTGTGGGTGGGAGTGGGAGCGGGAGAATGAGTGAGTGTATGAGGGAGTGCGAATGTGAGTGAGAGTGAATGTGCGTGGGAGTGAGTGTGGATGAGAGTGGGTGTGAGTGAGAGTGGGGGAGTGTGACTGCGAGTGTGAGTGAGAGTGAGTGGGTGAGAGTGTGCGTGGGGAAAGTGAGAGTGTGGGGGAGTGTGAGTGTGAGTGAAAGAAAGTGGGAGAGTTGGTGAGAGTTAGCACAAAGTGCTTCGCCTGCCACGAAATCTGCACTTCGAGGTTCGCCAAGTGCTTTGCCTGCCACGAAATCTGCAGTTCGAGGGTCGCAGAGTGCTGCACTTGCTACGAAATGTGCAAACGAACCACATGTCCAAAAGTTACGATTCATTGCGCCGGTCACGAAATCGGAGCTCCTTGACGATCACCACCATGTCCAAAGTGCTGCACCTGCCACGAAACTGTACTTCCAAGTAAAACAAGTCCGATCCCTTGCACCTGTCACGAAACGTCGACTTTGAAGCACCAAAACACGAGGTTTCCCTTGCGCTTCCCACGAAAAGTCACCACAACGAGAGCGCAGTCCCCAGATTCTGCGAGCCGGCGCATTCGAAATGCACTTCCAGGATTTCGAGAGGCATGAATGTCCTGTAAATAGTGCTGTGCTTGCTACGATATGTGCACTTTGAGGTTCCCAAAGAGCGCCAAGTGCTGTGCCTGCCACGAAGTCTGCACGTCGAGGATCGCCAAGTGCTGTGCCTTCCACGAAATCTGCGCATCGAGGGTCCAAGAATGCTGCACCTGCCACGAAATCTGCAAACTGTCACGAAATCTGAGCTCCTCGACGACCACCACCATGTCCAAAGCGCCGCGCGTGCCACGAAAATTATCGAACGAACTTGACCACAGTCCGGTTGTAGTTGGACATCAGCCTGTTGGTTCACCAGCCCCTGAACTATATCACGGTCACCCTTAGGACCAGCGGATCAAAGGACCAGGCAACCTAGTCAGGATTTTGTTTGATCCTTGTTTGTTGTTCCCGAGAGCGTCTGAGCGAGGGGCTTTTCTACAAGAAGGAAGTGTAAATAGATCTAAATATAACAGATCTTCAAATCTGACATCTTCTCACATCCCACATCTTCTCGCATCTTCTCACATTTTCTCACATCTTCTCACATCTTCTCACATCTGACATGTTTTCACATCTTCTCTCTCACATCTTCTCACATCTTCTCTCACATTTTCTCACGTCTGACATCGTGTCACATCTCACACCTTCTCACATATTCTTTCACATCTTCTCACATTTGACAGCTTCTCATGCCCACATCTTCTCTCACATCTTCCACATCTGACATCGTCTCACATCTCACATCTTCTCACATCTTCTCACATCTTCTCACATCTTCACTCACATCTTCACATCATTCTTCTTTATTCTTTCTCTCTTAAGGCGGGGGGCAGGTCCGGCGGATCACGAACGTCAACCCTCTGCGGAGATCGTGCGTGTCGGATGCACGAAACCTAGGCGAAACTGCGGTCCTACCGGGTCGTATGCAACCCTCTGCGGAGATCGTGCGTGTCGGATGCGCGAAACTTAGGGGAAATTGCGATCCTGCCGTTGTGTATGCAACCCTCTGCGGAGATCGTGCGTGTCGGATGCGCGACACTTAGGCGAAGCTGCGATCCCTACCGCGGGGTATGCAACCCTCTGCGCAGATCGTGCGTGTCGGATGCGCGAAACTTAGGCGAACCTGCGATCCTGCCGCTGCGTATGCAACCCTCTGCGGGGATTATGCGTGTCGGATGCGCGAAACCAAGGCGAAACTGCGACCCTGCCGCTGCGTATGCAACCCTTTGCGGAGATCGTGCGGAGACTTGGCGCCTCACTTTTGGAGGAAGGTGGAACTTCATCAAGTGATTCAGCTCTTGCGAGCATCAATTTACATGTGTGTGTAACCCTTGGAGTCACAGGGTCTCGATGGATTCGTTTTGCTGCGTTTTTTCTTCAGCAGGGGGCCATCGGGGTCCCAGAGGAGCGGTGGCCAACGAAGACCTCCTCTGGGACGCGTGTAAACGTACCAGCCAAACAGGATACCTGTTGTTCTTGCTCTGGTTTGCTTTCATGGTGGTTCATGTATGTGGGGTTGGTGCATTTTGCAACTTTGGTGTGTTTGTGCTTTGAGTTTTGATTGTGTGTCTTGTGAATTAGTAGCGCTGGCCTCAAACCAGGTGCGATGACCCCCAACCCACTAGAGATGACCTCCAACCTTGTTGTTGGGGTTTGTGCCTGGTAAACTCGTAGCGCGGGCCTCAGCCTCGTGCTATGGCCCCCACCCCAGGAGCGATGACCTCCAACCTCGTTGCTTGGTGTGTGTGTGTGTGTGTGTTTTTTTTTTTTTTTTTTGGGTGCTTGTGCGTAATAACGCACTACCGATGGCCTCCAAACTTGGGCGATGGCCTCCGACTTCCTAACGATGGCCCCTAACTTACTTTTATCGTTGTGCCGGTTTACTCAGGCCAAATCTGTTACCTAGGTCACCGTGTGGCAAACCTGTGGTGTATTTTACATAGTTGAAAATTTGATTTGAACAAAATATTGGCCTTGTAGCTGTGGACCCAAACTGGATTTCATAGAAACTTCCGCACTCCATAGATGTTGTTGGTTTGTTGTTGGTTGGGGTGGGCAGCGCTTGCTTGATTGGCGAGGCTGCCAAGTTCAAGTGGGCTAGGAAAAAAACATCGTTACAGCATTCACAAACGTTCGCGGTAGCAAATTTGCACTCCTTACAACAGCCTACGGCGTTAGCGAATGAGTTGTTACAACATTCACTAACGCATACGAATGCTAGCGATAGCGAATTTGCATTCCTTACAACAGTCCAGGGCGTTAGCGAATGAGTTGTTACAACATTCACTAACGCATACTAACGCTAGCGATAGCGAATTTGCATTCCTTACAACAGTCCAGGGCGTTAGCGAATGAGTTGTGGAACCCTGTCACCATCTAAAAATGAAAGGAGGCTGCAGTCGTGAGTCTCAGAACCCCTTAAAAAATGATTAGTGACAAGCCGCTTTCAAGATATTTAGTGCTGTAAGGGCTTGAGATTTCCTCAACCTCTTGAACCATTCACTAACGCTAGCGAATTGTGTAGTAAACCTAGGATTCCTCAGGATCACTAAAAAAGTTATGTTTTCCGCAAAAGTTTTTTTACAGCAAATCTTTTAGGCTGCTCCAGAGAGGTCAAAAGTTTGTTACAAGTGTCACTAACGCTAGCGATCATTTTAAGAGCTTGAGATATTCTCAAGTCACTACAACACTAAATATCTTAACTGCGCATGAGCGAACGGCCATATTTATTCTATCACAAAATGTTATCGCCTTTGGTTCTCCCCCGCAACATTTTCCAGTGTTTCCAATAAAGTCCACAAACATATGACAGTGTTGTATATCGCCCATGCAAGTTTCATGGCCCTAGGACCTCCGATGTGATACTTTCATCAACGACCTTTTTGGTTGCTCACATCCTTTGCAATATTTGTTGAACCCCACTTCAGATCAGTTCTTGACAGATCACTATGCTAGTGTGAAATTAAGCCATGGAAGCCAAGAAAATCTTGTTGCTCATTATACACAGAGGGTTGCTAGAAGGATTTTCAACCAACCATCAAAACAAAGCGATCGACTTTCTGCTTGAAAATCCACAAAGTGTGAATCCGAATCTAATTGGCTCAGCTCATCAAGCATCAACCCAACCAACCAACCTAAACCAACAACAAACTAACAACATGTATGGAGTGCAGAGGTTTCTATGAAATCCAGTTGGGGCTCACAGCTACAACACCATTTTTTTTTCAAATCAAATATTCAAACATGTTAAATACACCATAAAAACCGCAACTGCGTCAGTACGCATTTCTATTAAGTGTGTGTACTGTGAAAGAGTTGTGGCGATGGGGTGTGGCGATTCCTCGAAAAGGCGGATGTTTGGCACGGCAGGGTGCCTCCAGGTATGCGAGCCCGACCATGTAATACGGGCTTACCGGGGTGTTCCGGGATGAACCGGCGGCGCGGTCAGGTAGAGGCAGGTGCGAGCCGCTTCAGTGGAAACATCCGGGCATGCCAGCTCAAAAGAAGGTAATGTGCTCGAGATCGGTGGGGGCTCGCTGTTGTCCCTATAGAGCGGCGCGGGCGTGTCTCCGCCCACAGACCGTTGGTGCGCGGGACCTTGCACGTCTCACCCTTTGCTCGTCGCAGCGCGGCCGCGGAGAAAGAACGGGCCCAAGTCTTAAGTGCAATCAGGAGGGGAACGCGACCAGGCCCATAGCTAGGCATGCCACCGCACAGATAAATCGCCCAGGCGTGTTGTCAGGGCCTGGCGCTGTTTGTAGTTTAGTCGTGCCGTGTCCTGTTGCCGCGCCCTAGGCGGCACTGTTCCTGCTTTCCTTAACGGACAAAAGTTTTTGGATCAGGTATTGAAGGCGTGGCCGGTGGCAACCTCGGCAAGATGTGATGGGACGGATTTTTTTAAAATCAATTTTGCCAAAAACCATTCGGAATCATAGGCCACCGTCCGGTGTTAAGTTGCAGGGGGCATGGCAGCTGCTTCCTTAACCCTGCCAACGAAGCTATGGGGTTCAGCCGAAAGTTTTGGAAGGGCATGTGGACGCACATTCAGGTACCTGCAAATTCTGACTTTAAATTCCCACTGGGCCCCGTTCAACCAGCTTGCCAGCCTGTTTTTTGTAATCGTGCGCAGTTGTCGCTTTCAGACTTACACCTTTGGTGTTTGAGGCATGGAACTTCCGGAAGGAAGTCAGGGCTTTGAAGGTTCATGGCCAGACTGCTTTACATGCTGCCTCGGTTCCTAGACTTTTCGGTGTTTATCGAGGCGTGTGGCAAACCGCAATCAATTTCACATGGACGTAACTGCCTGTTTGATTGAAACCGGTGAACAAAAATTTTCGCGGCCACTTGCCAGGCCTGTTTCTCAGGTGTAGGTCGTCGAGCACTAGTTGGGTATAATTGCAGTAGCTTGATCGCAAAGTGTTATTGCGTTCTTGGAAATACCTGGAGTTGTGCTCGTCCGTATGTGTGTGTGCGTGAGCGCTAAGTAGAAAACACACCCTGCTCACATGGCGCAGCAAGCTGGGTGGGTATGCTTCCTCATATTCACACAGCCTTTTGGAGCGAAGAAAGGAGGGTGTCCGCAGCCAGGTGGGCCCCATATCCCGGCTTGCAAACCCGCAACTCGCCAGTGTTGAGGGTGGTTGTAGTAAAAATATGTAAAAAACACGTTTACAATTTACTCAACAATTGTTTTTTGATTTGGCGCAGTTGCTGTAGCCCGCTTTGCCCGTTTTCAGGTTGATTTCAGTTCTGTTGATTCAGTAGACATGGTTGTTGACGCGAATGTGTGTTCTTCAGTTCCGCATTCTCGTTATGTTTGTTGCGCGATTGAGTTTTTGTGTTTGTGGTGTAGTGATTTATTCAGCAGTATGCATTAAAATCTAGGAAAGGGCGGTTGGGCAAAAGTATGCCGGCTTTCATGTTGGAACCTTCACAGCTAGCAGTGATCACACAGCTTTGGGATATGCTCGCTGCATCGCCGTTCGTCATTCAAACATGCACCCTTGCAGCTGGTTAGCCAGTGCCCCTTCCCATGGATCGCCCAGTCGAACCTGAAGTCACAAAAACAGAGGATGACGAGGAGGAACCGGAAGAGGTTCAATTCAAGCGGGAAATGCTCAAGTCAGCCCAAAGAGTTGATGGCTTTGCGAAGGCCCTTTTTTAGAGACCTCGCCAACGTCCAGTCCCAAACACATGTTTTGCAAGCTGTTGTTTGACCATGTATCGATTTGAGTCGCTCTGGTTTTGCCGGTGCTTGTTTGGCTCAATTGTGCTGTTTCGGAGGTGCACTTCCGATCCATGATCGGCATCAAATTTTTGGGGCTGATTGGGCTGGCATCATTGCTGGCTGTGGAATGGATTTCTGAGGCAGGCGACCATAGTTGGCGTATGTTAGCATGGCCAAAAAAGTGCCCCAAAAATGAATGCACCGCAGGTTCGATCAAATGAATCGCAGCGGGTCCTGGAGCTTTCGGGACTGGGCAAGGAGTTGGGCAGCCGGGGTGCATTGTGACAATCATTGGTGCGAGGGTACTGTTTCTCACACAAAGTTCGGTTGTGTGCTTTCGGCGGCAAATGATATCGTGCCACATGGAAAAGACAACTGTAGTTTTGATGGACACCACATGTCAGTGCAGGATGTTCAGCTGTTCGACATGGTGTTGACGTCTTCCGCCCGCCTTCTTGTGCTCACGGGTGATGTGAACTATCGAGATAGCTACTTCATGAAGATTGAGCCGCTTGAGGACTTTGGATACTGTAACCATAGAGCCGTAGGTACCACTTAGGACTTGGATTGGGTTTGTCACGGTTTGTCTAAAACTGAGCATTTGTCACAATTCAGTCAGAACTTGGTTTGTGGCACACATGGCGGCCGCGCTTTGTCCAGGAGGCTTTGCGTGGCATTGAGCTGAATGCACCTGAAATTTCTGCCAAGCATCTTGATGGCAGGGAGTTTCTTCATTGGCCACCCATCACACAACATTTTCCACACTGTATGTCAAGATTGTCCTGGTGTTTTGGTTGGTGTGGCGAGATGAAGTTTGGAGAAACTATTTGAGATCATTGATGTAGCTCCAAATTGGACACGCACAGATATCTCAGCGCTCGAAGGTTCAATGATTTGACAGTCGTTGCCAATGATAAGCTCATTGAGATCGAGGTACGGTTTTGAGGAAACACACATATGCGTAATTAAGTCTTTGAGAGTGTTCAACCTTTTTGAGCGGACGACAAGACGGCAACAAATGTTCTAGTCAAGCGATGAGAATTTGATGCAGTGTTTCAAGAGCCTGGTCGGAGGTTGCAGCGTTGGACACCATTGGATCCAATCAGTCGGCAGCAATTGCAATGTTATTTAGTGACGAGTACCAGCACAACAAGGACAGAGGATGAATTTGCCGACATCGTACGCCTGCGGGATAGCCTTTCGGCTTGACACATGCAGCATCAACTCCGTGCATCTTCCGTTGTCAGGAGCTGCTGCTGAATGGGGTTGCTATTCTAGACAGCTTGATCCAGGAGTCCCGCAAATTGCCCTGATTCTGGAGGTTTGAGGTTGCACTGTTGGCACAGTGACAGTTGCTTTTTTGAGATGCCTGTTGCTTTTTGCTACTTCCATCCCTTTCTGGACATGCCCAATGCCAGAAAGGGGAACTTGGCCCTTTGCTAGCGAGTGCTCCCTCTGGGGCAGGCATTGGCCATGGCCGCGCAGGTATATATATATATATGCACTTTTTTGGATCTTCCTCCACCTCTTCCTCAGTTTTTGTGCTCATAGGTCGGGGTAGCCGGAAATTTGGGCACTGAGGTGAGAGCCACGATGCCACTCAAGCTTGGTGGGGCTGGGTGAGCACCTCTGTGGTGCTGGCGGCGTTTGTTTCAGAGGCGTGCAGCTGAGGAGTACCCGGTGGAAACAAGGAAGGAACCACTGAAGAGGCAAGTGCGACTCCCGCAAGTCGCATGTCAATCGCAGGTCATGCTGCTTGTCGTTGTCCACCGTCTTGATCGTCGACTCGAACTGCTAGCTTTGGAGAGCGACGTGCACCAAAACAGGCCATCGGGTGTTACATCTCATTCATTCTTGATCTGGGAATGTTTGTGCCGGCTTCGCTGGCTGTGTGTGTGAGACTCTGAGAGATAGAAGCTTGGCGTCACAACTTTACGTAGAGCAGGAGCCAATTCGCAAAGTGCTGCCTACAGCGGTCAAACATTTTTTCATATATTTTCTGATTTACACGGCCGCTTGCGATTTGGCGAACTTGCCGATCTGCCAGAGATATCCCGGCCGACAAGTGTAACTCCTTGGACTGAAGATGAAAGGAGACCGCACGTACTAGAACTGTTGTCACCGAGATTCTTCAAGTGTTGCCAGCTTGAGGTCTAGTTACGGGTGTTCATGGTTTCGCTGTCTATGTCTCCCGCGCAGGTATGAACTTCTCATGCGAAAAGAGTTAATGAACACAGCCGTCGCCACCTTCAAGCTCCTGCAGATCAGTCGCACACGTGCAAGCTTGGAAAGGCCGATGGGGCTTGGGAGCTGACGGCAGGGCAGTATGCTTCGCAGATGCTTTGCACGCTTCAATGGTGTCCAGACAGTGGCGACTTTTGGTGTCCAGAAGTGCTGCAGGCAATTGTCTGTTCCCAACATCAAGGAGGACAAGACTCCCCGATTAATCATGCGCCGAAGGCAGGGCCTTTGACCTCGAAGTGTGGCTTTCATGATCAAGTGTAGTTGCACCTAGTAGGTGGCACCTGGCACAACCTGGCAAGGCTTTTCGTCTTATCCATGATGGCGGAAGGTTTAGCTCTCTCAGGCTTTGCCATTCCTGCAACGTTGACTCTAATTGCGCCTTGGGAAGCAATGCAATGGCTCAACATGTGTGTGGTAGGGCTTCGGGAGTCATTCAGCGTTGACACTACCAACAGCACTCTCATTCTCACGAGAATCTTCTTGAAACCAGGCATTAAACAATGCAGCAGCAGCCGAGCCCATTGAGCAGTTGCTCCTTTATGCGAAGAGCACTGTTCCACGGCTTTAATAGTTCTTGGAGCTTCAATCAGGACTGCTGCGCTCTCACGACTACCTCTAATATCAGCAGGTTTTTCCTTGATCTTCTGACGATTTGGTTCGCTTGTGAGAACTGGTGCGAGAAGGCGCGCGGCCAAAGCATTCCATGGCCTTCCGAGGAATATTATGACATGGCGCTGACTACTAGTGCTCAGCTGTGTGTCCTTACTGGTGACACCTCGTGGTCTGAGGCTGGCCATGTCACGTAATGTATCTGGTCATTCGGACGCGTGTTGTTGAATGCTTGGACTATGATGGGTGCAACCCTTCATGACCATGAGATATCATGAGATTCTTGGCATATCTATAACCAACATCAAACTTTGGAATACAATTGACACAGTATTTCCACCTTGACCTATTTTAATCGAAAAAGCGATTGGAGCTCCGCCGCTCAGCTCTACGACGGCTATGTGGCGCCCATGGATGGAGCCTTGCTGGGCCTGGCCGAGGTGGCGCCCGGGATCTCAGACAGCTTCGCAGCGAGCACCTCCGCGGCGAACTCCGTGCTGATCGTCACTCGGCGCGGGCGGACGCCGGGGGCGGAGCCGGGGAGGATGGTGGACGCGTCGACGGACTAGAGTCACTACCAGCGGAACTGGTAGTGCTTTGGTGGGCCAGATTTGTCCGAGGGACTTCTCAACACCTACAGTGGCATGAAGGACTTGAAGGGAACCATTGCCAGCATGCCATTATTTGGGGTGTTCGGCTCAGGACATGGAGACGGTGGCTTTGGGCCATTGTGGGCAGAACAACGAGCAGGGGAAGAGCATTTTATTTGGAAGCGCGTATTCTGGGAATAAGACAATCCTCCTTGATGGCATAAAGGATGTCACTCAAGCTGCAGAGCAGGCGCTGAAAGACCACGAGGACCAGTTATATAGAGAAACACAAAGATGTGACGGGGCTTCACAACTGATGTTCTGAGAGTATTCTAAAGGCGAACTCCGTAGCATGTTGGTTGCACATGTTGCATAATTCCAGTCTGGAGGATCATAAAGAGAATCATTCCAGCATGGCCCGCTGCTTGGCAAGATGGTGACACGACATTTAGCATAGTATCTCGGGCTTACAATGGTTCCCTCGTCTCATTTCGGTTTAGCCTTTGTGCAACCTGCGTATATTTACTCATCCCTCTGTAGATGAATCGGGCCCAGGTGTGTTATTGATTATCAGCACCTTTCTGATTGTTTCAGCTGATCTGTGCACCGTGGTGATCGCAGCCTGGATGGAAGCTTTGTCAGTCACACACCACAAGGACTGAGATTTGTTTGTCAACTCCTATGATATATATATATATATACTTTCACAAATCGGTCAAGATTCGTGCTTGCAGGACATGAAGGACTCCGAAGATGAGTCAAAGTTCATGAAAAAATTGCTATCGATGATCCAGTCGGCGTTGGCTGCAAATGCAGAGGTGCTGTGGGGCAACCGCCTCTTGTGTAGGCAAAACATGGGTTGAAGATGGTGTAAGATCATAGTATCATCAACAGTTTTGTTGGCTTTCAATCTTGCGGAACAGACCCCGAGAGAGGTCCCACGTTTCACCACATTTGACACTGGTGCCGGCCCCACTTGCTTCAGAGGCCGGTGACAATCAGAAGATGGAGAGCTCACAGGCCAACCAGCGAGAGGCACCAGAGCTTGATGAGGATGACGAGCTGGATTTTGTCAAGATTGCTATGTCTATTTAAGTGTCACTCACTACGAGTTTGGACACGGGCTCTCGTCTGCACAGAATCCACAAATGCTGGTGGTGTGCTTGTAGCGCCGCTTTGCGGCATATGTTTTGACGGACTACTGGGAGGAGCCAGTTGGCAAAGCCAACGGGCTACCGACCAGGCAGATCTGCCACTTTTACACATGTTTGTCGTGTCCAGTTACCAGCTCCGGCAGTCGTAGGAGCCACTGGAGCGTAGCACCAAAGGCAAGGTGCTGCATGCAAGGTACAAACATGTACCAACCCCTCCAGAGCATATTCAGCTGCAACAAGTCCAAGACTTGTGATGGTGCAAACCGACTGGGGAACAACGTGAATGAAATAGACTAAACAGACCTGACCTGTCCGACACACGCCGTATTCAAGCAGCTGCCAGCACTTCTCGAAGCCAGGGTCCTGAACTGGTGTCAGATTCCAAAACTTATTGGAGCTGTTTAACACCATGTGAAGGGTTCTTCAAGAATTCCGGATGCTATTAGCAGCCTCCTCTCTTATTGCTGAATTAGGCTACCTACGCTCTACCTGATTCATCGTCTTACTCTCGGAGCCACGAGCGGCTCAGAGACAGCCCCTGCCACAGTGCCGTCGGAAAGCTATTTAGGACGAAACCAAGATGGGGCGCAAGCAGAAAGCAGGTTGCTTGACTGTCAAATAAGTGGCTTAATCTCTCTGTACGGTGCCTCTCCATCAAGCTGTGAAATCAATGCTGAGGCAAAGAAGAAGGAGGGGAAGGAGGTCGCCGTTTTGTTTACTGCACACATGCATAAAATTTGTCTGCTTTGCGGCGATTCTTGGGTCTGTTTGAAGCTTCTGCCGTGGGGCGATACAGCCTTCCAAGAGGCAAAAGCATATCAGCTTGTCAAAATTAGCGCGCTGTCACACCATTTTGGCAACACTGCAAGTAGCTTGAGATATCGCAGGCGAAGGCATGAAACAGATGCAAAGTGCCTTTGCCAACCTGCAGCGGATGATGGCATCCACCTCAGGTGATTCTGTTGCGTTTGCTTGGCATTTGGTTTGCTCGAGGCAATGAGCAACCCTGGTATGTTTGGCGAGAATCAGGGGCAGCCTGGCCAGCCACCTGCTATGCCACCCAATCCCATGATGGGCATGATGGGCGGCATGATGGGCATGCCGCTTGCAGACATCTTCGCTTGAGTTCTTTTGGTCTAAGTCTTTGTTCCTAGAGGTGTGGAGTATCCGATATCCTACGGCCCATATGCTAAGAGGAAGCAAACTACGATGAAACCACAAAAGCTGGCCAGTACAGTGACCATCAATGATACATTTGGGGAGGCTATCCGCCAACCTGCGCTTTATTCCGTTTGGCTGGCGTCGCCATGCGCCTTAAGATTTTGGAACCCACTTGTATGTGCTATTCAACAGGAATCAGTGCTCGATAGGGCATGGTATCGCTTCCCCTGCAGCTGTGACACCGCGACTCCAGCCTCCATGACATGGCCCCGACGAGCCAGTGTGCAACCAGACCAAGTCGCACTAACAAGACTGTGCCCGGATGCATGAGCCAAAAGACCTTGCACAAATCGAGCATAGGCGTGCATGCCCTTGGGGCTTGCCACTTGGGCTGATTGCCAAGAATCAGCTCGTGGGGAGGACAAGAGGGGAATGCCAGAGGGGAATCGAAGCAATTGAACCCAAGGCCATGCCCAGCACAACGAAACATGTTCGGAAGATTCTTCACACGTTACAAGTTAAACTCAACTTGGACTGACAGATCACTGAAACTGAGGAATCCAATGATGATGAATGGCATGATGCCTACAGCCCCAGGCTTTCAAAGGGCTTTCCGGGGGCTTTCACGTCTTACTGTGTCTTGTGCTTGCACAAGGTTGGTGCCTTGCTTGATTTGATGCATGAATCATAATTATAGAAGCTTGATGATATTTACATAGCTTGTGTAACAACTTCCTTTTGCAACACTTGTTCCTACCTGATGTAACGATGCTCCGCCCATAAAGAGACACCGTGCGACCGCGGCGACTCGCAGGTGCGGCTGCTCCAGGAGCTCCGCCACCACCCGCGCCTGCGCAGCCGGCTCCAAAGAGTGGAGGCAGCTTTTTGTTTGTGCCAACCATGAACACACACACACACACACATATATATATATATACACAGATATATGAAGGCATGTATCCTTATATGTTATATATATAAATATATACATATTCATGCACATGTCTTTTAGCTGCTTGATCGCGACCGGCAACCTTGCAAACCCATATCAGCATGGCTTCATGTTCATGTTCATACATCGAACCAACCAGCCTCTAGAGCGATAAGAGACATAAGCCTGTCGAGAGCGAGGTCCCCACTGTTTTTGTTCGCTTTTGTGTGTTGTTTTCTGGGTCTTTGTGTGTGATTCAATAAATTTTTGTCAGGAGAACAAAAGATCTTACCCGGGTTGAAGCCAGGGGATTGGCTGTGCCCAAATTGTGGCAAGAGCCTGAGATCAAACGGCTGCCTGCCAGAACCAGTAGTGATGCTCGTTCGCTTGGTGAACCTTGAGACAGAACCACTTGGTCTTTACCAGTGATGTTGCATCGATCCGCCAGTCCTTGAGGCCAGAACTGCTTTGCCTCCAAATTTCAATGTCCCAGATGCGGGAGGTCTTGCTATGCCATGATGGTGCTTCTTTTCAATATTGAATCAGTTGAATCCTCAAACTCTGGCAGGAACAAGCGAGGCGAGGAGGGTGACGTGTATGTTTCAGAGCACGGCAGGATTCACCCAGATTCCCGTTTGCAAGACCAGTTTGACTAGCTTGCAGTATGCAGAGTTCTTGTAATCTTGGTCAACCCGGTGCCGCGGCTCACTGCTCGTTGGATTTTTGTTCTGAGCTCAGGACATTCAAGAACTCTGTGACGAGTACTACATTGAAACACGCCACATTGAGAAGCTCAATGAGCTTATGAAAGATAGGCGGCTGGTGCTGCGAGTGTTTTCACTTTGGGGCCAAGTGTAGTCCACAAGCACCCAGATAGGCATGGATGCATTGGTAGATAGAAAGATGGATAAATCAATGGATAGATAGAGAGATAGAGAGAGACAGAGAGAGGGAGAGAGAGAGAGATAGGTATACATATATATATATATAGAGAGAGAGAGATAGAGATAGACGCGTTTGGCTTTCAGACCCTGCTAGGCATGACACCTGGTATGAAGACTTGAGCCTTGGTTGCAGGACTTGATTCACTGACTGGCTGAACGGGGCTGCAAGTGACTTCTTGCCTGATTCACAGTCTTTTCGCATGGCGGATCATCCTTTGCAATACCCTTGGGCACCCTACTCAAGGCAGAGGGGGCACATAGGGGAATATTTGCGTCAAAATCCGGGAACTGCGCCCAGGTCGGTTCAGTGATGACTTCCTGTTCTGTTTTTACTATTATTTGAGCAGTCCAGAGGACAATCGCACTGCCTTTGGCTTATACACCCTGTGTGGAAATGCAAGGAAGAAGCTCAAGGAGATCATGGAGGAGGCACGCTCACCATGTGGAATGCTGGTTGTTAAGATGAAGCTTGGCCATGACATAGCAGTGCCACACACACAGGCCCAAGTTTGTTTCAAGGTCATATCTTAAACACACACGTCCTTGGTCTCTTCGTCGCTTGGGCCACCCTTCAAATGAAAGATGTGTATAGTCGTTGGGAACATGTTTGGAGAGACATTGAGGTTGCTAGATCCAGCAACATATGACCGAACACTTGTGGGCAGCCAAGGAAGGAAATGGAAGATGGCACATTTGTGGCAATTAATCGAGACAAGAGGCCCGGAAGGGAGACGCGGCCTGCCCACCCGAAGTCCAAGCCAACTGCCTGCGTTACAAGATTGTTCACCAAATTCATAGGAAGTGGTTCAAGGAATTGTTCGAAGTCAGCTGCCCACCTGCTGGTCTGGCCGAAGGATGCAGCACTTGAAGGAGAAGTTCAAGTTAGACCGCATCGCTGAGACGCGCTTGTCGGATATCTTGGCGCGCTGCTCCGATGAGAAGAAGGATGAATACTACCACGACCTAGAAAGGCCTTCCAAGATGTTCTATGCCCCAGACAAGATCATTTTGTTTTTTTCGAGTGTGCTCTCCAAAATTATGAGCGCGGCAATCCTGCTTCATGCCGTGTTTGATTACAGTGTGAGCCTAATGTTTTTTTTTCTCTGAGTGTCAGGCACTTTGAATGCTCGGGCAAACCCTCAGCTACGGCCATGCTTCTGATGAAAAAATTGGCCAACGGTGAACCTCTCGGCTGCTTGGCAGGGCAAGTCTTGAAACTTTGGATCACCTCCACTATTTGCTATGCCATGCTTCAAGGAGGCATGCTTCAAGGCCATGATTGTCCATGCGGCCGCAAATGCCCCAAATGTGCCGAGGTCCACCTGGCCGCCCCGGCCCTGGCAGTTGGCTGGACCGGCAACGCAACGGCGACCGCGAGGATCGCGGCGGCGACCGGGGCGACCGAGGAAACGACCGGCGAGGCGACCGAGGAGGAGGGGGAGGAGGAGGAGGCGACCGTGGCGGTGGAGACCGCGGAGACCGTGGAGGCGACAGAGATCGCAGAGGTGGCAGGAGAGGTGTCCGGAGGTGTCGATGTTGCCACTCTCCAGGACATGTCGAATGAAGAAAACATGTCACTGTGAGAAGTCAGTGAAAAAGCATGAAAAAGCAATGAGCATCAATGGACACCGTTTCTTTTTTGTGCATTGTAGCGTACCCAAAAAGATGGAAGCAGATGCAAGAGCACAGGAGCCGGGACCGCCGAGATGGTGGCCGCGATGGTGGCCGCGATGGTGGCCGCGATGGTGGCCGCGATGGTGGCCGCGATGGGCGAGACGATCGACGGGACGATCGGCGAGATGACCGCCGCGAGCGTGACGCTCGCAGCCGCTCCCGCCGCCGGGATGACCGCCGCGAAGACCGACGTGATGACCGTGGCTCAGACATCTCTCGGAAGAGCAACATGGGCTGGGTACATTTGGGAGCTGGGTGGTGTGTGGGAGCATTGTTCAGTGGGGAGGTTCAGGCAAGTGCACAGATAGATCTTCGATATGAGTTTGCAGGGGAATCAGCAAACATTGGCCTGCATTCATCAACCAGCCTGCTGGTTTGTGTGGCGCACCCTGAGACAGTTCGCAAGTTTTCCTTGAATGTTTTGGTCAGTGGTGGCAGCGACAAGCTTCTGGATCGCATGTCATGTTCTTGGAGAATTCGTGAGATATTCTCGGATTGTTTGTGCTTTCGCCAGCTCCAAACGCAGAGCGGGTTGATAGCTGAAAGGTCTTTTTCCGGGTTGGAATGTGCTGAAACTAGGGTGAGGGGTTTGCCCATAGTCCTTTTCACGGGTTAAGATCACGCAGGTGCTCGCAGGCACACATGCTGTAATACGACCCGGAGAGTGGACGCCAAGAGCAGCTGCATTCTGCGGCCCAACTTCTGCACATCGGATATACATGATAGTGATAGTTGTGCAGTCAGACAGCCACATGTCAGAGTCCAGGTGATCGACGCGACGACCGCCGTGAAGAGCGGGCGCAGCGACCACCTCCTGCAGAGGCGGGCGGTTCAGATTGCCGACCGTTCTCCAGACCTGAGACCCCGCAGTCCGTCCTCCTATCATCTAAAGTTGTTCAGAAGGACGATGGGTGCGAATCCCTAATAAATACAGTTGAAACAATTATGGATATGTGATTTGCACACACTGCTGCCCCTACTTTCCTGATCGCAACATTGCGCCTAGTCTCGAAACTCTGGAACGGGCTGGGGATCTACCTGGGAGCTCTGAACCCCTGCTACTTTGGAATCTGCTATTTGCCAAAACCCTGAAACTCACCCAGGCCCCCCTCCAAACTCGCCTGCAAGACACTTTGCAGGGAACCTTGCAAACAATTAGGAAAGCCAGCCGGCAGGCTAGGCTCAACCGGTGAGTTATGGGGGTGGGGGGGAGGTGCTGCGAATCAGGGCAAAATGGGTGGATGGGTTAAACTGTGTGTTTTTGGGGCTCCTCGAGGAGAGTTGATGATGCTTGTTGTGCAAGTCATCGTTGAGATTGTATAACGGAGGGAAAGAAATGGATGGCCAAATGGATGGATGGAAGGATGGATTGTGGGAGCGTTTGCGTCTCCTATGCGCTGCCGCAAGTCTTTGCATCGGCGTTTGCACGCGAAGGCTTTTGAGTGAGTAGATGAGGTCCTGTTCGCACTATCAGGTTTCAACCAAGTATAAAACATGAATATAAAAGGCAAAATACTGGCCGGGTGGCAAACCAATGCATGGAACCCTGGAACTCTGTGACTTTGGAGGGTCATGTTGGCGGTTCTAAGAGGCCAATCTGTCCAATTGGTCTAGACTAGACTTGGGGATGGCAAATGTGCCCAGAGTGCACAGTTCTGTCCAGAAGAATGCTATTGGGCAGACTGCCAGGAGCCAGCCTTTGTCCCGAAGCCCAAGGGCATGCAACCGCCGGAGAAGGGTGAAGGATGCAAGGACTTCAATAGGGAATGCAAAAGCATGACCGATCACCACTTTGTGAGTTTTCGTGCCAACGTGCCCATCAGTCGTCCAAGACTTGAAGCGAGTTCACTCTCCCAACAGTCTGCGTTGTGAACGTTTTGAAAAGAATAGCTAATTCCCTTTGGGAAAGTTCTGGGTTGTTGATTCAAGACTCTTCCGGTTTGGTTCACCAAAAATCAGTGACAAAAAGAGGACACCTGCTCTTTTCAACTCATTGTGCAGCAAGGAAGCTGAAGGCCTCACGGGTGCTGCAGCTGCAGCCGCGCTGCAAGCGGGCGCCGAGCGTGTGCGAAAAGAGCTTCAAGCAAATCTGCAGGCCTGCCTGGCCTCCGGTGCAGAGTGTAGAGGGCCCATGGACCATGGAGGACTTCTTGGCCTTTTCAAAGGGACATGCAGTGCCAAGCGTCAAGCATCAAACAAACAACTCATTGAGAGAGGAAGAGGGATATGATTTTACAGATGGCTGAGCCGTCAATGGTCTTGCAAGTGCACATCCAGGATAGGACTTGCGTTTGTCTCCAAGAGAGCCAGCCCATGGCATTGAGGCATACATTCGGAAACAAATTGCTGATGGCAGACCGATGGAGGAGTGGACAGCGTGACTGCGGCTTGGCCTTGAGGCTGAACATATACCCGAGAATGATCGAACAAGATCTAGCGGGGTTGTTTTTCAGCTTGTTTGGCACATGCTGTGGGTGCAGAGGGCAGGTATTTGACACTTACTCAGGTGCATCTCTAGTTGCAGAACGACAGTGCAGATAGTGATGCATGCATGTTGAGCTACGCGCTCGCTTTTGGAGTGGAGATTGAAGGTAGCCATTGTCCTTGCCATTAGCTTAGGCTTACTTCAATTCAATCTTTCAGATTGGTTAAGGCCAACACAAAACATTCGCTCCATACTGGGTGCGTTCCCTTACGTATCTCTATTCAGGGTGCAGCACTGGCTCACCAAAGCCCCAGCGGAAGGGGTCTCGCCGGCCATTGTTCTCAAAGAACCCCACTGGCCAAGACTCGTCACAGCCGGTCTTGACTGTCTTGACCATTCGGCTCAGTGCTGCACCATGTTCCGACTGTGGTAGTTAACATAGAAGTGAACATGGCAGCCAACAGTTGCTGCCAATGCGTTAGCGTATTCAGTGTGGTGCCAGGCATATTCATGCCCAAGTGATTCATGTGTCCACGTTGACAGATTTGGTTGCGCAGTCACCCGTTCGCTCCATGATGTCCCCTGGTTGAAACTCATGGGCCCATGGGCATTGTTCGCCGGAGAGTCCAGCAAGGATCAGCTCGCAAAGAGCTTGGAGTCTTTGTATTGGGCAATGGATGCACCATCCGCATCCGTTGGAGTTTCCGCAGGGTTGGGTCAGGCTAGCCAGGCTTTGCTCATTCCCTCCAGGGCAGCAAAGAAGCAATAGCCAAGAACGACAAAGCATTGCACAACTGCTAAAACAAAGCCTAGCTTGGGACAGCCTGGCTGAATCCTACCACAAACTTCCTCTCCAGTGCAGCTCTCGAGCCTGGAAAAAGGCGCAAGGATTGACTGTGGCTGGTCCTGGTGAGCCAAATGTCAGGCAACCTGGATGTCCCAGCGATTCGCTGAATCTCGTGTCACAGAAGCGAACCGTCGCTCTTTCTGAGCGGCAGCCATGAGCAGCAGGCAACGATGCCAAGGCCTGCAGTCCAAGCTGCCAATGAAAATTGCAGCGGTGCCCGGATACATGCTGTTTGAATTCATGAGTGAGACTCCATCTCTTCATCTCAGGTTGCAAAGCGGGTTCCCTGCCATTACCAGTACCATGGCGAGCAAGGGGCTGACAAGATCGGATTGCTCATGCTGCGCATGGCCACCCCTGGGCCCGACAGGGTCTGACATTGTGGAAAGCCTCGCAACTCGCAATTTGGATGGTGCAAAAAAGAGTTCCGAACCCAAGAACATCCAAGAACTACATGTATATTATATATAAATAGAAATTAGATACTGTGGACATCCATTTGAGCGTCCGGGAAGGGGCTTCAGGTGGTGCTTGTCAAGATTCATGATGTTCATGGCTGCAACTGTGGGACCGGGTTATCAATCATCAGTGCTGTGATCTTGTATGGTCAGAATTCTGTGGGCCGTCCATGATCTCAGCAGCCGCTGAACATGCCTGATCGATTTCTTGCTCTGGCTCACAGATGTGGCATGTGATTCTAAAGCAACGAGTCATTTGTTTGCAAAACGAAGCGTTCACTCTCATGCAACAAATTCGTTGGTGCCACTAGCTGTGCTTTCTGACCTGGAGTATGGAAACTATACATATATATGTATATATATATATATATTGTGTACCCATATGCGCCATACCCTCGACAACTCCGAAAGGCGCATTCGAGCATGTACCAAAATTGTCATGACAGATTTCAGAGACAGGCATGAGAAATAAGCAACTTACAATTTTGAGAGAGGAATGAGAAACAAGCTGCCTACTGTGACCACACATTTTTAGAGACAACCAAGTACTTTACCTTGTTTGGCTACATGCATTTTTGGTTCCTATGCCTCACGCTGGTGTGTGCTGGAGGCGCTTTTGGAGCAAAGGAGGGGCTAACCCCCTGTAATCACTGCAATCTGCAGCAAACCCTGCAGGAGTTTCAAGAAAAGGTTTATACTGTACGTGCCGATATGAAGCTTGGTGAGCTTGTTTGCACATACGTATGTTGAGTTGCAATCGAGGCTCAATAGGCCAGCATAGCGTGAGAAGTCGAAGTGGTGAGTAACCCGGGCCTTGAGTTGGCCATGTATTTTGTTGAGTTCACTAACTAGCTGAGTGCTGAGCTGGCCAAGTGGTGACTTAGCAAGGTTGTTGGCCCCTCAAGTGAGGAGATTGCCAGGTGTTGAGCTAGCTAAGCCACAACCTAGCTAAGCCACAACCGAGCTGGAAGTTGAGCTGGTGTTATGTGGTAAAGTCATTGGCTGCTAGTGGCGCCGAGTTGGTTGAGCTTTGAGTGTTTTGAGATGTTTTAAGTCTTTGAGGTAGCTTAGAGTCTTGAGCTGTCGAAGATTTTTGAAGGTTAAGCTTTGACCAAATAAGTCGCGTTGAGGAAGGCAGTTGTTATATATTTACCAGGCTACCGCCTGCAGCCGCCGACCCCCAAGGGATAGAACCTTAGCGCTAGCCTTGCTCTATGTTAGCCTTAGCCTTAAGCCTTAGCCTTAGCCTTAAGAGTGCAGACCCAACCCAGCACCACCAAAGCAGGTACCCAAAAAGTCGACTTTTTGGGTACCTCCCAGATTTACCATCAGAATTTAGACCCAACCCTTCACCACCAAAGCAGGCACCCAAAAAGTCGACTTTTTGGGTACCTCCCAGGTTTACCAATTTAGACCCAACCCAGCACCACCAAAGCAGGTACCCAAAAAGACAAAGCCTAGAGCATTCCTAGGAAAATGCCAGAAAAGCCTTTGAAAATCTCATAAACCAACAGAAAACGTGACAAAATCTACGAAAAAAACAAGGGCATTGGCCTGGACCATGCCGCGACCAGCCCGGGATTCGAGCCCAGGACCATTTTGGACCGTGCTTATTTTCCCGCGCGGGTCGAGAGGGTGCCCCAAGATGTAAATCAATTGGGGATGGCAGATTCTTGGACAATCCAGGTCGCTTTCCTGGCGAAATTCGACCGGATTTCGTCACTCCAACAAGGGTCCGGAGGGGTAGGGGAGGTAAGGTCTAGGTCTAAGGCTAAGGACTAGGTCTAAGGTCTAAGGCTAAGGCTAAGGCTAAGGCTTAAGGCTAAGGCTAACATCGACAGTCACGCCTCACCCCACGGTGTGGGGTCGGCGGATATAATATATACAGTTACTTGAGCGTTGATTTGTGCTGAACACCGGTGATCGGCCATTTGTGGTAAGTAGTGAGTAGTGGCGACATGCAACATTGACTCGTATTTTGTGTGTATGTGTGTGGGATGTGCATCAAGTCATAATGAACCGCCAAATGTTGCCCCCTGAAGTGCCTGTACATCCCAGCAAGTCGAGCAACAACCTAGCGCCACTCCAATCCGGAGTGCAACTACAAGGTGGTTGTCCAACGGGTGAAGCCTAACGAATCCGAACCACAGTGCTATTGGTGACCACGCTGCACCAGTAGCTTTCCCCCGTGAAAGCGAAACATAGCATGCCCCGTTCTGCGCGGGGCTGGTTCTATTTCAGGTGCAGTTCATTCTTGCAACCAACCGCTCACGTTCTTAGGAATCTCCCGCGCACAGCTTGTTTTGTGTTTGTAATTTCGGCAGTTCTGCAGAACCAACACATGCATTTCAGTCAAAGCATGTAGCAACGTAGCTTGTGAATTGGATTTTGTTGCTTATTCTAGATTCTAGCTGTGCTCCCTCCACTTGTGGCTTCTGTTTCATGAACTTGCATGATAGTGAGCACGGGGTCATTGTACGACATTTCTAGACTGAGCCTGTCATGTGCTGAATCAGGCTTAGATGTGGCACCTCAATCGATGGATGCCTTCTCAGCACACAGGGGATTGGCCTTTCAAAGCATCCGCTTGACCAATCCGTCTCTCGTCTTTCAAGTGATTTTTGACGTGTCTTGAGTCTTTCCTCTTTTTGGAGAATTGCTTGCTAAGGAAAAAGCGCGGAGTTCTTTTGACAAATGCACATGGCAACTAGTAACTTGATGGTTTCGCGGCAGGTCAGCGTTTGATGTCGCAGTGCAGCTCAGAATCTCCAGGCAGTTTTGCAATGTCTTTCATCCACCGTCTGTTCCAGACTGGACGTTGCAGTTTCAGTCTAAAGTGTGGCAGCACAGTTCAGCAGATCTGCTGACCTGCTCCATTGAAAGTCAACACTTGGAGATCCGGTCGGCCCCGCACGCGCGACCCGGACACTGCACGTGTCCAGGCCGAGGCCGAGGCCTTCGGTGAGAAGGCTGGGGAGTGTTCCATCGCATGGGCAGGACTGGGGCGCTGTCAAGAAGACGCAGGCATTGCGCTGTCAAGAGATCGACTTGAGTAAGCTGCCTAACATTGCCCTCTCCTTCTTTTGATGGGATGAAGAACGGACATGGGAGGGCGACCCAGCTGCAGGATTCGCAGAAATGCGCCAGCCCAAGTAGGCGGGAACATGCGGATTGGAGGTCATTTGGCGCCTGGATGTAGGTCAAAAGCAAGAAACACCAAGGATGTGGGCCACAAGACCCACGAGTCCAAAACCAAGCTGGACCAAACCGGACTTGCCAGGTTGCTAGCCCGTTTCCACAAAGTGGAAGGCAGGAAAGCTGTGTGCGTGACATGTGGTGAATCCAATCGTTTGTACAACTAGTCACGGCCGATGTAGTCCTTCCTCGTTGTTGCACACTTGGTTCGCTTGGCTGGAGAAAGGTGGACCCACTTATATAAATACAGTACATCTTTTTTCCTGATCCTTTTCGAGGCGATGTCGATGGAGTTCTTCATCGGAGGCTTCGGGAGGACAGCCAAAGGACCAAACGATGCCAAGCGATTTTCCGGAATCGTCAGACTCATGCAAGGAGCTTCACAATTCATATGCATGGCAACATCTGCCAAACCTGGACATGGAGATTTTAGACACCTGCGATGGTCCGGCCAAAGTGCTGAGCGACTTGGCTCGAGGGGGGACCTCATTGCACTTCTTGATCCATAAGACAGGTCACCTCACATTGTAATGCTTTGTACGCCTTTCCGTTTAGTTCTTATTGAACTCAGACAGAGTACCTTGCGTTAGATCAAGCGTTTGATGGACCATTGCCGTTTTTCTTGAGTTTTGCAGGTGAGCTAACAGCGAAGTATGGCTCCATGTGGCTAGGTTTCGGTCCAGTTGGCCGATGTTGCTTCACCTTTTCTTGTGTATGCCGCATATGCAGCATTCTCGATTTCCTCGCATTCTCAAGCCAATGATGGAGAAGTGTTGATCTCAATCGGTTTCTGAGGCTCGAGTTTGCAGAGATGGATCAGTTTGTTTATCCCAACAGCATCCCTGACGATCCTCATTGGCCGAGACTCTGGGGTTTAGACAAGATTCGAATGCTGGATGCCTGGTCGAGATTGACCGAACTGGGTTTGGATGGCGAAGAGACGGTGGTTGCCGTGATCGACACTGGGGTACAGTTGGACCATCCCGATTTGATGGATTCCTTGTGGACTAATCCTGGGGAAATCCCGGACAATGGAATCGACGACGACGGGAATGGCTTTATTGATGATGTTCATGGCTATGACTTTGCAGGTTTGCGCCTTGGAAATTTTTCTGAGCAGCCGTAACCATGACTTGAGCATTTCTCACCCATTGGAGGAGAAGATGGGCATCCAGACGATGACAATGGTCATGGCACCCATTGTGTCACTGAGCTGCGCACTTCGAAAACCGTGCTCGCTGTGTCACCGTGCGCCCAGCTTCCACGTTTTATGACTTTCTTGCTTTGACTGAGGCTGGAATTTTGGCTGCCACTGCGAACAATGGCCACTTGACAAGTGCAGACCAGTTTTTTTGTTCAACCTCTCCAGCCAGGAGTTGGCATCGCTGGTGTGGCCAGCAGGCTTGCCAAGGCAGGTTAAGACATGATGTGGATTCGAGATTTCGATAGATTTGACGTATCAGGAATATTTTTGTGCATGACTGCGCCCCGTTTTCCTGCACCTAGACACGGTAAAGAGCGAAACAATTTTCTTCGAGGTGTCGGATGTGGCCAGGTACGCATCATGGCTTTGCGGTTCCTGTCGGCAGACGGTACAGGTGGAACTGTGTCGGATGCGGTGAGGGCGAAGCTTGCTCGCAAGAAGCAGCCTTGGCTGGGCCGCATCAGATGTGGAGTTGTATGGATAGGAGTTAACAGCGATGACCAGGATTGAGATTTCACCGAAGTGACAGAACAGAACCACCCCGATTTTGGGAATGAGGCTAGAATATGCCTTGTCCTTCGGCGTGCCAGTGTCTTCAAATAGCCACCTGGAATAAGTTGTAGACCTGCCCAGTCGCACAGGTCGTGACACCTGTCGAGCGAGGTTGGGGAGGTGCGGACACCTCTGATGCTTTGAAGGTAGCCATCCGGCGAGCCAGTGAGGCAGGGAGATGGGCATCAACCGTTGCTATGTCATATGTGGTTATTTCAAGAACAAATGCAAAGACTACACAGAGAGAAACAAAGAGGAGGTAAGGGTCCCTTCAATGGTCCCCTTTAAAGGAATAGATTCTTAGTGTTCCTTTGCCCCAAACAGTTTACTGTCTTTGTGTTCTTTAGGGTTCCCTTTGTCTGACGGGAACAAAGATACTGGCTATAGTCTCTGGCCGCGCCTCTGAACCCTGTGTCCCTTTGGCCGCGCTACCGTGAGGTGTCCTCTGGCCGCGGTGTCCTCCTGCCCTCCTGGTGGCCTGGTGGCCTCTTGCTGTCCTGTGGCCACACTCGCGAACTTCAACTTGTCCTCCTAGTCTCCTCCTGCTATCCCATAGCCGCACTCGCGAACCCTGTCTCTAGCCATGCTTGCCAACTTTGTGTCCTCCTCTTGCCCCCCTTCCGTCCCCTGGCAACGCTTGCGAACGCTGTGGCCTCCTTGCTGTGGCCGCGCCGTGTGCTTTCTTTTCCGCCTTGTCTGAGCTTGTAGGCCGCGCCGCCTTGTCCAAGTCTTGCCCTGGTCTGTCTGTCCGTCTGTCTGTCCTGCTTGTCCGCGTTGTCGGCCCTTTTGCCACCGCCTTGTCCAGGCCTTGCCCGCTGCTTGGCCACTCCGCTTTTCCTTTCTCCACCGCCTTGTCCGGATATGTTTTCGCATGGTTTCGCGTGGCTATGAATGCAACAGTGGCGCAGCGTTTCAAATTTCATATTGCCATCGGATTTCTCATGACATATAAATTAAATATATCTTTATTTATATCCCCTCGTTTTTGCACATGTGGCCAGAGAATAAAGAACTCTTGTTTTCAAACAATGCCATTGGAAACTATAGGAATATAAATTTAGAGGCTACCACCAACACGGGAATTCAAGGAGTTGACGTGAAAACACAGCAGAAACTGCTTGAGGTCTATGCTGACATAGGGCTTAAGACCTCCTTTGGTAGCTGGGGATGCTGTGTGCCTAGGCAGCGGTGTCTTTAGAGACAGATTCCACCACTGGGAGAATGATAGGAATGTGTTCTGGTGAGAGGTAGTGACATGAAGGACAGCTTTTGTGCAAAAGGACAGCTGGATTGCGTTGACCTTGCATTCTGCGAAGGCTGGACATCTCTTTGTCGCACCTGCGGGCAACAGTGGGACTGAAAGTTGGACTTCAGTGATGACACACCCGGACCTGATTTGACAGAGTAGAATTTTGCTAACCTTATTGACCCTACGGATCTCTGCTGATGTGACACTTGTGCCTTCGGCCTCACAGATTTTCCCATCAGGAGGAGCATATCAGACGGTGGCTAGGCAGACGTGGACATTCAGTTGGTTTGTGTCCTTGAGCTGGACAGGCATTCATGCAGCATGGTCATGCCTCTTGGGCCGTCCAAGCATTGAAATGCCGACAGTGCCACCCAAGGAACATATTATCCTTGTGTCTACCGTCAGGCTGGAGTTTGGACCTGAGTGCGACCCTTCAAGCCTGACCCTTGTGGTGCCTTGTTGTGCCTTAGCTCTGCATCACGATCCTTGACGCAGAGCTCAGGTGTTGTGCGTGGCTGCCAGTGATCAGTCCGACCAGCTGACTTCCTTCTCAAATTATGCACCAGAGTACGTGCTCCGCTGAGCTTCAATGTGATCGTCAAGTTTCTTTAGCCTTTAAGGATCCTGGCGGTATGTTTGAGACATGGTGTGGCTTCCTCAGGTGGAAATTACAGCGCCGGGAGTTGATATATACAGCACGTACACTGGGTGCTGGGCCAAGCCTTGAGCCGAATGGCATGCAGCCACCAATACTATCCGAAAAAATGCTTCCAGAATAAAAAGTAGTCAAAGAAGAGCAGGGTTGTTGACACAGTTAGGACAGATAATTGTGGCGATGCATAAATTACTTTGGGGCAAACCTTCCACTTTATTTTTTAATAAATAAACGCGCACAAGGTCTGGCTATCGTTCCGAGTTTGGCACGTCAATGGCTACCCCGTATGTGGCTGGGGCAGCATCCCTGGTGGTCAGTGCGTTTGGCTACAGCGGGACACATGTCAGGCCAGTGTTGGTGCGGCCTGCGGCGTTCAGCTTTCAGGAAGGTTTTGTAGAATCACCTAGCCATCATAGGAAGTGCTAGGCACTTCCCATGTTGACTTTTGTGGTGTCACTTCGCACCTCAGCAGTCGCGGCGGTGAGTCAGCCTTCTAGTCCTTCCTTGGCGATTGGAACATATTGGAACCCTTGCAATCCCCTTTTTTCTTTTGACATGTGCGTTCGGCATCCCTGCGATATCTACAGCGGTGGCATTGAACAGTGGCATGCTGTCATGCTGTTTTGCTGAGAATGGGCCAGGCAGTTGTTGCTTGATTCAGCGGTTCTGGCAGACAATTTCAAGGGGAAGGTGGATGGAGGTGGGTTGATTCTTGAGGGTGCGAACTCCTGTCTAGATGGGCAACTAGCTGACACAAGATGATGATGAATCAGTGATCGGAGCTGTGAGGCCGCTTGGATGTCCTGAAGTTAATCGAAAGATCCGAGCCGGACTTTCTCTTTTGGTTTGACTCGGAAGGGGCCAGGACTGCAATGGTGTCTGCACCATGGCAAGGGCTAGACAACTCTTGGAATCAAAAGTGACTGCTGTTGACTCTGCAGAGAGCAGGCTAGCGGGAGCTACACAGATGATAGCATGAGAAGCCTGCACTCTCCTTCTTTCCTGCACCCGCTCCACCACCACCATTGTTTGAGGTAATAGTTGCAGCCAACAGCTCCAAGTTGGTGGAGCTTCAGATTGGATCAGACAACATTTTACCCGGCACTTATGAAGCGGAAGTGCACACAAGCTGGCACGATGGTGAGGAGACAATCCCTGTGTCTTGACTCTTGACACTGGTAGACTGGGACAGCAGCAGACCAGCATGGCATTGCATCGCATCACACGTCAAATCGTTGAGCTGGGCAATTGTGTTTTGCCTGTGCTTTTGATGTCGAGAGGGTGTTTTTCTTTTTCAGAAGCCAAGGTGGTTTACACTGTTCAAGGCCAACCACTACTGCATTTGGAGCAGCATAGCCTCGAATGGGCACAGGTGGGGAACGCTCCAGTCTTTGGTGAGGCCACCTAACTTGCGGGCAGGGCAAACTACCCAAGTTGCAGGTGCCAAGCAATGCCACTGCGAGCCAATATTTGAACATTACCAACTCGGGAGCCTTGCTTGCGATTTTTTTGCATCTTCCGGCAATCCCGAAGATAGGCGTGCAGAGGCGAGGGCATAATTGTCGTCTCATCATATCTCATAATCTCGTTGATTATTATGTGGAAGGCCATTGCTATTAGGTTGGAGGCCATCCCTTTTAGGTTGGAGGCCATCGCTTTTAGGTTGAAGGCCATCGCTATTAGGTTGGAGGCCATC